AAACCCAACTTGCCACTTTGATCAACCTGGGTGATAAATGGCCTGTGCTCCTGAAAACTAGGAACAGTGTTTGCTTTACAGCAGTTCTGAAGAGACAAAAGGGCCACCTGGTTGAGTCCACCATGTGTATGTAGCAGGTGGAGCTTTTCTCCCCGTGGCCATGTATGCTGGGGCACAGTAGAGCCCACGGTTACTGATAATCACCCTGTCATTTAGTGACCGGGGCATTTACAAAGGACCAGAGCCTTCACACTTCTCACTAACTGGGGAATAATAATTGAAAAGCCAGAATAAGGCAAAGACAAGGAGAAAAGGTGAACGCTTTTTTTTTTCTTTTTTAAAAAAAGCACAAAAGCCCTACATACTAAAATTATACACATCAAGTATTGGTCCGATCTTACATCAATCTATTTACAAATTAAACAGCACCATGGTTTTCTCACCGAGGTTAGTTAAACATGCCTGGAGAATTTATGATTCAAAATATGTTCCTTTAAAATAAAATAAAATAAACTCTGGAGACAGCAAACAAAAAGCATCTTGTACCGATGATAGATCATTGATGATACCACCAACTTTACTGCAGAGAAGTAAGCCGAGCACTTGATTGTTCCAGTTGATAAACTTTTGAGATGTTGCTGTTCATTGCAGCACAAAGGGACAGAAGGGCCCGCGTGATGACCAAGGCACCATACAGAGATAGTTCCATCTTCCCACTTCCTGACAGACAAGCTTGCTTTGGGAACTAATAATGCAGCGTCTTCTCTTGGATTCAGATTCAATCTTCAACAAACCTAAGTCAGATATAGCCATAATCTTAAAAAGATTGCATAAAACATGGAAGTAAAGCTCTTAGAAACATGATATATGACAATGATAGATATATCTAATTAGGCTGTAGGAAATAGAATACCATTTTAAACATTACATGTAAAGTGATTAGCCATTTCACTTTGCCATTAAAATGAATGGGCTGGTGTCACATCCAAGTAAGTATGGAAGTTTGATACTGTCCAACCAAGAATGGCACAGGCATCTGTTTGCCTCTACGCTCCATCTCATCAGCTCAGGGCTAAAGTGATCAGTCAGCCTCTGCTCACATATGGAACCAAATTCTTAAAGAACCTTTAAAAACAAGACTCCGAATGAAACACAATTCCTAGCAGCTGTACACCTGTCATCACACAGATGAATCAGGTTACCTCACCGAGTCTCTCAGCCTTCTAATCCAATTTGTAGATGGTTCATCATTTACTTCTTTGCTGGGACAGATGACGGGAGAGAAGTGTCACCTGCCTGCCATGCCGGGAGGTAACAGGGAGCGGGCAGCATGGAAGCGTAGAGGATGCCTCCCTGTTTAGTCTCACTGTTGCTGCGTAAGTGACCTGTGAGACTTTACACATGTAAATTCTGAGTATGGGTTTTCTCCCCAAAGACTGAGAACAGGCACCATTCTCTCAAGCACAGAGAGACTGGGTCTGTCCTTATACCCTCCCTGCCAACTAGGGAACAGGGTGATTACACTGGTATTCTGTGGTGGGAACGTTGTTTGCCGGCCCAGGGATGATGCATTTGGGGTGCAGTTAGTTATGAAAAGTTCTGAGCAGAATAGGTAGATCAACGAAGGCATTATATAGTAGTGACCTCTTCATTCTAGTAGTGACCAAAACAAACAGCTTATTGATAGACAGTTCAAAACACCCATGCAGCAAAAGGACAAGAGACTTCTCAGCTGAGCATCCAATGAAAATCAGATTGCTGAGTGTTCCAGAAGGGTGGCTGCCATCACCAGGATGGAAGGCACCAACATTTAGTGTGACTGTAAATAAGGAGCTCAACATATGGGGACGGAGAAGCAACACTGAAGCACAACTTGCCATTCCTCTACTCCTTTATGGCTTTCAATTAAAGCAGAATGGAAGCAAATCGCAACTGCTTTCAGGTCCCCTTAAAAAATAACAAAAACCAAACCCTCAGTTTATAAGTATCACTGATGATTTCTGAAAATTGTATAATTGGACTTCTTAAAAAAATAGTTTGTATTCGAAAGGTGCTAGGTGCTGTTCTTCAGGGACGCACTGTTTAGTTTATAGTTCTACTCACTACAACACGGCCAGTGCGAAGTGTTGGATGCTTTGAAATAAATGGTATCTTACTTCTTAATGCCTCTCAAATAAGAAATGTGATTACATGAGTCTCACAGGCTGGCTCTTTGTGTTTTATTAATTATTTTTGTTGGGTCTCCATCACAGATGGAAATTTTCACTGGTCATTCCACAGAACTAAATCAATTTGCAGGGAATTCAGAGCAGTGAAAATAAATTTCACGCCATAGAGTAGGAAGCGCCGACATTAGCAATCGTAGAAAGGAGCAGGCAGGGCCAGCGGCCCAGTCGGCAGGGCCAGCTCAGTTCTCCACTGGGGTCGGGCTCTGCACAGGCTGGCTCACGATAACCTGCACAACGTAGTCCTTTGGGATCTTCAGCTCCTCCAGCTTCATTCTGTCTGTGAGAGGTCTGCCAGAGAAGAACCAGCGCTGACTGCCTGGTTCCACGCCTTCTGCTGCATGCAGCCGCCTCTTCATGTGGAACACCGTGTCTGTGCTGCGGACCACCAGTTTGAGGTCTTTTCCGGTGGAGAGGCGCAAACGGAGCTGACACTCATAACCAGAGTTGGGTGGTGGCTCAGGTATATCCAGAGTCTCTATGTCACTCTTTTCCTCTATCATGTTGATTGGTGGTGCCAAGCAATAGACTGGAAGCTGATAGCGGTTTCCCAGTTCATCATAGCACTCAGTAAGCGCACCTTCAAAGAGGGGGGGCGGGGGGAGAAAAATGAGTAAGAGTTTAATCTAAATAAAAGCCTCGTGTATCTACATCTTGAAAATTGCGTAAGGCTCTCTTGCCGCAGGCCACTGTAGAGAAAAACACACAGTTATGCCCATCACTGTCACCAGGGAGGGTCATCAAGGCCCACGTCCAATTTATGAATGTTTACTTAATTTTAAGTTAACTGGGGTCCCAGGTTCCTGGCCCTGCCCTGAAACAACATGAATGTTTAGACCAACTCAAAAGGGGCTGCAACTGACACCGGGGCACATTTTAAAGAAATGAATCTGCTACCTGTAGGGGAAAGGCAATGCAGAAATGGATCTTTAAGGCCAGCTCAGCAGTGTCCCAGAGCAGTTTCCCTAGTGCCCGGACAGAAGGACCTTGTCCACAGAGCACAAGCTAAAGGCACAAGTTTGCCAGCCACCTCAGCCTCCCGCTTCTATGCAAATCTCGTTAACACAGTTACCACAGACATGACTGAGGTGTTATATTTACCTCAATTAATTACTCTGCTACAGAGAAGCTAGAATGGAAGAGGAAGAACAAGAGGTATGAAGTTTATAACCAGCCAACTCAGAGAAGGAAATGAAAACATTTGTAGTTTTTTTTTTTTAAGGCTAATTTCTTTATAAAGCACAAACAGTGCATTGTAATTACCAGGGCTTTCCCTTGGGGTGTTAGAACGCTTACTCACGGAATGCTCCATTTCAGTGTTAATTATCATGCCAATCCTCATTGCAACATTAATGCCAGCTGATGATCAGTTTAGATCAAAACCATCTACCATATTCAAAACCCTCGCGCACAGGGCCGTGGGACCCAGAGAACATCCGCAATAACAGTTGAGGAGTTCCTGAACCCACCTCTGAGGTCACTGCCAAGGGAGGGAAAACACTGTGATGAACAAAGCCTGCTGGTGACCAGGGTGTGACACTCACAGTCACTCATCACCAGGAAGCCCATCATTCATCACCCCTACCAATAGATGAAAACCACAAAGCATTTGAAATTAGGCTGGGCAGTCACCAAGGCCCAATGGGTCGGTCTGGGTCTGTTTTCTAAGTTAACCCAGATGTGCTTGGTGAGTGAAAGCTCAGTCTCCACCATCACCCACATGACTCTCCCCTCTTCCCGAGACTGGATGTCATTCCGTGGCCTACGGATTACTCCGGAAGAAATCTAGGGCACTGGAGAGATGATCTGACTCAAACTCAGCAGTGGACACCAGCAGTTCCCACATATCGAACAGCACACTGCAGGATGGATGCATGTATAAACAAAGGTAAAGGTGGTTAAGTGAGCGGCCTGGGTTAGATATGCCCTGTAGCTGGAGGCAAAGAAGCCTACCAATGTCTTTCAGGTGAGCTTATCTGGAGAAGAAGGTAAGAGAAGAGGCAGTTTGTTGTAGACCTTATCATTTCTGTTAGCAAAACATTTTCAGGCACATACACCACTGATGTTAGGGGATTCAATAATGTCAGTCTTATATTTATGGGTACAATAAATAGTTAAATGATTGTCCTGCGAGAAAAACATTCTCTTAGAGGACTAGTCCAAATATTCCAGAAAGATGAAATTCCCAGCTGTGCCACCTTGACTATTCTGTCACTGGACATCCTTTTCTCCAACAGCACAAGGAAGCATGGCGGCTGCTTCATCTGTACGCACTGTGGCCCGTGTGCAACAGCAAGGCAGCAACCAGCAGCAGCAGCTCAAGTGAAGGCAGGAGGGGGAGGGGGCTTGTCTGAACAGCAGCCTGCATTTTTGCTTCCAAGATCAAAAACTAGGCTAGAGGTGGCATCGCAGGTTCTTCGCACATTGGTCAAATGCTCAGCTATGAACCTTTCTGTTCTGGGTGGTTTGAGCCACCCCTCCAGGAGTTCTGCGGGAGAAAAGACCAGACCTGGAGATCTGCTCTTGCAATTATTGCCTTAAAAATTCTACGGGGCTGAGGGATGGTATCAGAGCTGAAACTGAGAACACCCAGTCTGCAGAAGGCTAAGGATGACAGCAGGAGCCCAAAATCCATTCACAGGGTCCCTACACAGCTTGAATCTCTGACCACAGACCAGGGGTGTGAGTTGTCTTGCTGTCCTGCAGACAATCGTGGTCGCTGGGTAGGTTTTTCGGGCATGAACTCCAGGCTGGGTAAAGCTGGAGAGACAGTGATTGCGTTGATGGTTTCTTGAGAGGTGTGGTAAGAGAGGCTGAAGAGAGGCTGGGGGGAAATGGGGAGCTGATAAAACGAAAGAAGTGAATGTTCTAAAATTCATTGTGGAGATTACTGTGCAACTCTTTGAACTACTGAACTGAATGATATGGGAATTAAATGCAAATAAAACTGTTAAAAAAAGGAATGAAAATTCTATTAGTCACAGTGTGTGGCTATGAGCTGAAAATCCATTCAATGGCAACTCACAACTACAACAATATAGTGTCACAAGGGCAGCACATGGCCATTTCAAAAACACACGCTCCGTTCTCAGAGGCTGGTCTTCTGAGGTCTGAACACTCTCGCCTCATCAATTGGAAGACCTGAGTCCTCCCCACCCTGCGTTCAGTCCTACAAGTCCAGTCCTTCAGTCATAAATGAGTGAGAGCAGCCCCACCACTGGAGGAACAACAAGACTGTGTTTCACCCCCCACTCACCACTGGCTTTAACTTGTTTTAAGCACTTTTATTGTGAATTACGTGGGGTTACAGATTAGATTATTTTTGCATTCAATAACTTCCCCAATTCAGCAGCGACGCATTCTTCTTTTTTTGACAGGGTACTTCTTACTCCAGTCCATGATACTATCAGATTCTTTACTACGAAGGAGTTCAATGTTTTAGTATTTTTAGAAAAGGCAACATGTTTTTAAAGTTATTGTTACATTTTATGGGTCAGACACTTTTTGCTCACTGAACTGCTGCAAAAGGATAATCTGAGTTATATATCCATACCAGAAGTCAAATAGATTTAGTTTCATGTTCAGGATAGTTTTAGGGGGTTACTTTCTCCTCCTAATTAAATATCTTGGAGACTAAAGTATCAATGAACACAATCACTTGCATACGCATTTACAATGTACTCCAAAATGACTGACCTATTCAGAGGCACACTGGCTCCTAGGTTCTTATGAGTCGCCTACTCCCAAGCCCTTTAATGCCTCCACCAGCTCTCTAACTAAAGGTGAAACTCCTGGTAGAGATGGTGCCAGACGCTGGCAGAGCTCTCTCCCCAAACCAGGACTGTGGAAGGACCGCTAAGAAACAATCCCTACAATCACTGCATAAGAATTCATTAAACCCTTCAAGGCGTAGTGGGCATGCCACTAGCACTGAGGAGAGCGGTGACCACAGAGGGCAGTTCTTGCCCCTGATCCCTGGGAGCTTTCAGTCAAGGCAAGCAGATACCACACACCCATCACTGACTTAGTAACAAATCATTACGCTGAAACATGGGGGCTGAGACATCAGAGTGGGGAAGTGGCTCGATGGAGAGAAATGGGTTTGAGCACAACAGGATGGAAATGATGTGAAAACAAGAGTAAGTACCAGGTAAGTATGGCACAGTAAGATTGTTGAGGTGAATATAGAATCAGTGAAGTGAAATGACTAAATGAAAGAACAATACACGACAGAAAGGTTCACGAGACTTCATGTTACAGAAATCCCTGGAGGAGGCTAACATTCAACAAACAGCAAGCGTGTG